GTTTTTTTCTTCAAAAATGTACTTCATTGTCACATCTTTGATTCTTTTTAAACTTTAATTAAACTAAAAGGTACCCACCTTGTTGAGAGTGCTGATATTTTTTAATATACATATTTGGATTTCATAGAAGCTGGATTATTTATTGCTTTTTTTAGACTATGTTTAGTATACCGTGTGACGTGGATTACGCGGGAATTAGAAATTAAAAAAAAAAAGTCTTCTCAGCAACAGTTTTTTTCTGTTCTGGTACCTTTTTTTTCATATGATTTGGCAGCAGAGTATCTTGCCAGATTTGGTTTTTATTCTTGGTTTTCTAGTAACATTCCAACTGCCAATTTGGCAGTGTCTTTTGAACTACATTTAAGGAACTTTAGGTGAAGCAAAGTGAAATCATTTACAAGTTTCAGCACGTTTATTTGTTACATTAGTGAAAAAACAGGCACGTTGAATTTTAATTTTTCTGAGTTGCCGAATCTTGGAAAGAAAAATTATTTGAATGCTGTGAAGTTATGATTAGACTAAAAAGAGGTCTGAGATTTGTTCCAAGTAAATTAAACGGTGGAATTTGAGTTTGGAAACTGAAAACTCCTTAGATCTTTTCTGATTTTGGTTAGGTCCTTCACCATTTTATAGTTTTCACTAACACGTCTAAGTAAAAAATTTGCTTTTGGTTTTAATCAGCGGAGCGTCTCTTATGTGTCTTTTAGGCTGGTGCAAAAATTGAAAGTCTTAAATTCTTTTAGGAGGGTCTGGTTGTGTATACTTGGAATAATAGTGACCATTTATTCTACTTTTCGAAGTTTCTAGTGTCGGTTATGTTTAGTGGTTATATATTCAGACCTTGAATGTTTTTGACTTCATATTGGATTTCCAGGCTTGTAGAACGGTTTTAAGCTTCGATACAAAATTTTCTTCAGTTGTAGTTTCGCTGGTTAAGCGTCGAAAAAACCGATGTTTTTATTGAAGGGAAGCAAAATTCTGTAAAAATATCAAAATAACAGGAGCATTCCTTCTGATTTTTTTGAATTATATCTGCTTCAGTTACAGTTTTAAGAAGTATCAAAAGTACGCAGTAATAAAGGCAGAATTTTCCTCTTAGTGGTTGTTGAAGAAGTATGGGAATTTAGTTTGTCGAAGGGAAAAGTGACCAAACTGGAGGCGTCAACAACATTTTAAACGTGCGAGTTTTAAGATAAGGTACTAAGCGGGTTGAAGACGGAAAAGAATGTGATAAATAAATTAAGCTTTTTAGTAATTTAGTGGGAAGTGAATTATGTTTAAATGGAAGTTTTCAAGTCGTGAATACACTCTTTTCTTATTTTTCTATCAAACTTTATAGAATTGTAATAAATCATTTTGTGTTTTTAACTTGTAGTGAACGTAATCTTTTTTGTTCTCTAAGAAAAATAATTTGCAAATAAATATTTGCTGTTGTTCATAACTACATTCAGGCGATTCTAGTTATACAGGTTTGTTCCTCTCACAGTCATTTTTTAGAACAGAGTTTAATGTGTGAAAGATGAGTTTGAAACATCCACCGGCAGCAAATTATCGTAAGAGACCAACGGTATCAGTTCAGCAAAACAACTTTTTATCCGCTCATGAAGAAGAACTGGAGGGCGAAGAGGAAAAAACAAGCTTTCAGAAAGAAGTTGACGTTCTTGTTCGAGAACAAGAATGGCTTAAAGTCTATGATACTCATCGAACGCTTTTGAAGGTTTAATTTTATCGTCATTTCCAGCTGAGGTTTTTCTTACAACATCGGTAAAGATGGTGATCGAATAAAAAAAGTCAAGAACTTAACATCATATAATTATTCTGTAGTTGCGTAAACACTATCAGTTTCAGCTTCAAAAAGTTCTTATTGAATGTTGTCGTCGGCTTCATGTTTCTAATAAATTATATCCATCGCTAGATATTGGCGCTCGGCCTGCATCAAGCGAACAATTGCATTTGAAGCAACGAAACGGGATGGACAATTTGAAGGCAACAGTTGTCTTAGTTGGAGAAAACATTATTCAGAGCGAGGTCTGGCTTTTGAAGTTGTGAGAATTTTATTGTATCTTTTTGAGATTACGTAAGTCACTTAGTGCTAGTTGCATTCATTCTCTCATGGTTGTCGCTCATTTCTGAATGAAACTTTTTGATTAAGGTTAGTTTCAAGTACGCAAAAGCGCCAGGTGGAGTTTTAAAAACTTGTGCTCAGCCAGAAGTTCAGTGGAAGTTACAGCAGTTTCAAGATGCAGGGAATTTCTGTTGCATGGCTTTAAATACCATTGCCAAAGTCAGTACCTTAACAACTGACATTTATTTTATATGTTTCTTGAAGAAGAGTTCCGTAAATTGGTGAATTTTTGGATTTGTCGGATAAATCGGTGGTTACATTTTAGGCCCTTGAACTTGTTAGTGGCCATTTCAAAGAGGATGGCGACTTGTTAACTCTTGATGCTGGTAACCAGCTCAGTCTGATTGTTGCAGCTGTGAGTTTTACTGTAGTATTTTTGGCATTTAATTGTTATCAATTTCGTTCTGGAGTTTAGTTGCTTGCATCTCAAATTTCGTTTTTTTTGATTTTGAGTAGTATTTTTTATTAAAGTGCGATGCAGATGTTGTTAGCTTTTTATCGACGTTCTAAACCTTCAAAGTTTTTGGTTTATTTTCGGTGTAAGTCCGTCAGTATCGTTTAAATGTGATAGAAAGCTAGTGTTGAAATCTGTTACGCTGTTGTAAAAATTTTTTTAAATTTGTCGAGTTTTTAGTCATAGTTTGGATTTAAAGGTTAGCGATCTTATAATGCAAGCGCGATCTATCATATGCTTACCCAGAAAAAGAACTTTGCTTGAGTTATGCAATTTCCCTCCGACTAAGTGTTTCAAGCCACCGTTGCCGCCAGATGTTGTTTTTTCATACTACGTAGCCTCAACTCGGTTTATTTGCGCGGCATATCAAGTGACTTCTAAGCAAAATGGTTTGTAGATTGTGATATCTTAATCTTAGTTATTCCACTTTCTAATTTTTTTTAATATATTCAACGGCCTTCATTGTTTACCTTCAAAATTTAGCAGTATTTAAAGCTTGAGCTTTAAGTTGGTTAAACTAGCTGAATGAAGAATTTTTGCCATTAAAATTAGCTAATTTTTCTCTCAGAGTTATTTTCGCTATCTAACTAAGACTTTTCTAGACGTGAGTAGAACGTTGGCAGAATGTGAGCTTCCAGTACTTGTTAATTTTCTCGACTTGTTAGATCAGGCAATTGAAATAGTTCGGGAACTTCGATTAAATTTGTCGATCTTTGACACACATATTAATGCTTTGCCATACTCCTAAACTCTTTCTCATTATCGGATTTGTGTTTTTAAAGCAAGTTTAAGTATTTTCGTGCTTTTCTTACTACATCGATGGTGTTCCAGGAAAAGTGAGCTCAAGCAGTTTGTTTTCTGCTCTTCTCTGCAGTTTTTTCAGGATACCGTTTGCTACCCGTTTTGCCCTTGAAACATTCCAATTTTCGCTTTTAGCGTTCTCAGATTTAATCCAATGAAGGTTTCATTTACGGTATTGATGCTGAGTTTACACTCTCCTTGAACATTAACCGGTCTTTTTTCGAAACAGCTTCTGTGAGCTCTTGTAGCTTTCTACTATGGTTTGTTCATTACGTACACGGTGTATATATGTAGCAATAAACTGTTTGGTTTTTTACAGCATTGAGCTCGTAGACATAAGTTATCATTTCTAACGATTGTAAGAGCGGTCTCTGGAAGGCTCTGATGTGAAAATGTTTTTTTCTTTCAGGAATTTAGTGTTTTAAAAGAAGATCTGTTCACTAAGGTTTGTACCCAGAATTGGTTGGCTGCCTAATTTCACTTGAGAATAGCTTTAGCTTTGGGGCCTTCGTTTATTTTTGTTTATCTATTTATTTATTTGTTTGTGACTTTGTAATTAGTTCTGTTTCACTGTTCCACTGTGATATAGGTTTAAATTTGTTTGTTCGACTGCTTATGAAAATAATTTTTATTATTTAATCTATTTCACTCATTTTTTATTTGTTTATTGAGGACAAGTTTACAAATGTAGGCGTATAGTTTATTTACAGTAGCAAGTAAAATTTTATCTCAGCTTTGTGACTGAATAGTTAAAGTGGTTGCAACATTTTGTGAAGTTATACTGCTTGTGCTATAGAGGTGTGCCTTGTTTTTTTTTCCCTGTGTCTGTAATTTATAAATGCTATGCAGTAGATATTGTTTTTAGATTTGGGTTCAGCTTTTGCAGTTGTCTTGTTTGTAATTTCTTATTTCGCCATAAATTTGGAAGAATGACTAGTTGTACATAAGTTCATTTTATTTCTGATTTTTGATTACGATCTGGAGTATACATCGGTGTTGTTTAGTCGGGGCAGAACTGTGTCCTCCTTAGAAGAACCAGCACCTGATCAGGACGAAGCATTTGCATATTGAACAAATGTTGCGTGCAAAGCAGAAATGGTAATTTAACTGTAGTAGTTTGTTCGACGTTGGTTTTGTTGATTTTACAGATGGGATACGGCCGATTGTGCTTTAAAAGATGAGCTAACGCCCCGTATTCAATACATTTGTAAAACTCAACTTGGCCACTTTTTTTGCAAAAAGTGACGTTTTAGATATGTCCGTAGGTTGTAAAACCAATGTTGGGGTATTATTTAACAGGAAGTTTATAGTTTGACGGTAAAAAGAATTAAAGCTGTCTGTATAAGCACAGAGACTAGCAAAATGTATGAAAATTATTGCAACTTTCAAGCTTTTTAACGGTTTTTTTATGGAAGTTATTTTGAGCATCAACTTTCTGTGAAAGGAGAAGAAATAGGAAGAAGTAGTTGTCATCTAAAAATTTGTACTAAAACTTTAAAATTACATTATGTGATCACTGAATAAATATTTGACTAATTAACAAAAACTAAGGTATTCAGCAGCTGCACAGCAAAAGCGACAAATGACAGTAGAAAATAGATATCAATATTTGGGATGATAATGGTCCGCAGTGGCTCCAGCTTAAAAACTTTCAATAATATCAAACTAGAAATTTATGTAGAGGATAAAAGATGTTTTTTTTTTTTTTTTGTCAAATTTAGTGGCAACAGGGAGTGCAAGGATTTTTTTTTCTTGTATAAAAATTATTTTAACTGGCTTACAAATGCATCAAAAAACAGTGTACATTTTTACTAGTCGTACTAAGGAAAAACAAAACAACACCTGTACAATGAAATAAAACAAAAATTTTGTTCCGTTTTGATGTAATCTTTTCTTTTTTTTTTTTTTTTT